TACATTGAGATGCAATCCATACCGAAGGCTGTGGTCTTTGATCTTCATCAGTAAATGTTTTAAGTCCTCTTCACTTTCAGCAAGCAAGGTTGTATCATCTTCATATCGCAGGTTGTTAATGAGTCTTCCTCCAATCCTGATGCCACGGTTTTCTTCACAGAACCCAGCTTCTCGCATGATTTGCTCAGCATACAGGTTGAATAAGTCTGGTGAAAGAATACAACCTTGTCACACACCTTTCTTAATTTTAAACCATTTAGTGTTCCCTTGTTCTGTTTAAACAACTGCCTCTTGATCCATGTACAGATTCCTCATGAGCACAATTATGTGTTCCGGAATACTCATACTTCGCAATGATGTCCATAACTTGTCATGATCTACACAATCGAAAGCCTTTGCATAGTCAATAAAGCACAGGTAAACATCTTTCTAGTATTATCTGCTTTCAGCCACGATCCATCGGACATCAGCAAAGATAACCCTCATTCCACGGCCTCTTCTGAATCCAGCTTGAACCTCTGGAAGTTCTCTGTCAATGTATGCTAGCAGCCATTTCTGTATTACCATTAGTAAAACTTTACTCTCATGGGATATCAAAGATATTGTCCAATGATTTCTGCATTCCATTGGGTCACATCTCTTTGGAATAGGCACAAATATGGATCTCTTCCAATCAGTCGGCCAGATAGTTGTCTTCCAAGTTTCTTGACGTAGATGAGTGGGTGCCTCCAGTGCTGCCTCACTTTCTTGAAAGATTTCAATTTTATTCCATCAATTCCTGGAGCCTATAGGTGAACTGCATTTCCTATCTTTCATATCAGGAATCCAGTAAACACTTAAATATTCCTAACTCTCAAATCAATACAGAGTCCTGGTAGTTCAAACCCACCAACTGCTCTTCGGAAACCCTATACAGGGTCACTATGAGTCAGAACCGACTTGACAACGCTGAATAAGAGAAGCAATTATAAGTGGTTACCTCTGGGAGCATGTGTGAGACTTTTTCTTCTTTTTTTCTATTCTTTTATATGCTAAACAGTTATTAAGCCGTGTGCCTACCGTTATAGTAAGAAAACAAAATTAGGGGTGAAGTGAAAGCAATAATAATGTCTAGCAATACCATTGTACCAGGACCAGCATTACAGTCAGGCCTTGAGGAGAATGCCTTTGTGTTGTGGTTTTCTACATACCCACAGGTTCTTGAAATTTATATGTTTTCTATTTAACGTTATGCCCCTTCAGTTTAAAGTGTGTTTGCCACTTGAGAGGGGCCACACATCAACAGTGATCTGTTGTAGACATTCTTTACTGCTTTGAGAAATTCTAAATCCTCCCCTGGGAAGAGTCTTTTCAGAGCCGTAAAGGGGGCTCCCTAGAAGCGTCCTTTTCTAAGGTTATAAACTGGGCGCAGTGCCTGGAAGGGAAAAATCCACTAAGTAGAAAGGGTGTGGGACCATCCTCAGCCCTACCTCTGCCCAGAGCTGATGAGGGTGAGGAGAATCGGGGGCTAATTTCCATTCCTCTCTTCTGTATAACCTCCCAGGAAGTCAGAGTGTGTTTTGTAATCCATGGGTGGCCTGTCATAGTTTAATTGGCAGTGTTTTGGCTTCCTTAGTAGTACATAAAATAATGATGTGTCTGACCATAAGTGGGAATCTTAGCTCTATTAAAATAAGATGATTGTACAAATGATGGTTCTATTTGCGTCTCCCCCATCCTCAGCAGAGGATAGGTAAAGGGCCTTTCTCAGCTCTGCTGCGTGCCTGGAGGTGGTGGGGAACCAGACGCTGGGCGCCCCCTTGTATGTCCCCAGCTGACACCCTTTGTCTTGTAGGTGTGGTCACCACCACCCCGGCCACCATGGGCAAACAGAACAGCAAGTTGCGCCCTGAGGTGCTGCAGGACCTGAGGGAGAACACGGAATTCACTGACCATGAGCTGCAGGAGTGGTACAAGGGCTTCCTCAAGGACTGCCCCACCGGCCACCTGACCGTGGACGAGTTCAAGAAGATCTACGCCAACTTCTTCCCCTACGGCGATGCCTCCAAGTTTGCGGAGCATGTCTTCCGCACCTTTGACACCAACGGAGACGGCACCATCGATTTCCGGGAGTTCATCATCGCGCTGAGCGTGACCTCCCGAGGGAAGCTAGAGCAGAAGCTCAAGTGGGCCTTCAGCATGTACGACCTGGATGGCAATGGTTACATCAGCCGCAGCGAGATGCTGGAGATTGTGCAGGTACTGACCTCGGCCTCCCCAGTCCTGGCCAGCGCTGTGTACACAACAATGCCCTCTCGGGAGTGATTTTTAAAGCGAGCAATTGTCAGCAATGATGGAATTGGCCCTTGCAGACAGCAATGATGAAAGCCATCTTATTATTGATAAATTGATGGCTTACTGTATATCAGGCCTGCACTAAGAACGTTAATAAGTCTCACAACCCTATTTCACATAACAACACTCAGAGGTGTGAGGTCACAGAGCTGAGAATTGTAATCACTGAGGACCGCTGATGCTTCCAAGAGGCATCTGCTAAGAATCCCAGCATTTGAGAAGGCAATGGATATTTTTAATGCCCCTGTTGTTGTTAGGTGCTGGCAAGTCGATTTCCAACTCACAGCGACCTCTGGTGACAGAACAGAATTGCCCCGTAGGGTTTTCTTAGCAGTAATCTTTATGGAAGCAAATAGTCAGGACTTGCTTCCATGGAGCACCTGAATGGATTCAAACTGTCAGCCTTTTGGTTAGCAGCCAAGCAGTTAACTGTGCTAAGAACATGCCATTGTGGTCACTCAAATAAATTCTGCCACAGAAATAGCAGCATTTTGTAAGACCTCTTTTCTTTGACTTCTACCAATAGCAATAGCAGATGAGTTTGAGTAACAGATTATGCTGTTTTCCAGAAAGAAACCAAGTTTTATTCACTGCATCAGGCTGCAGGGTGTGGGGGAGAGAGCAGAGAGCCACAGAACTACTCAGTGGGCCGAAGCTATCTCTACCTGGCATCACCCCTTGTCCCTCTTCTCCCAGAGCCAAGGGGTGCAATCTGGAAATCCTTGGAAGAGTAGTGCCTATATATAAGGATCTTAGGGTTAAACCTTGAGTTGTTGTTGGTGGTGGTGGTGTTAAGTGCCGCCAAAGTGAGTTCCGACCCATAGCGACCTTGTATTGGGTTTCCGAAGAGTGGCTGGTGAGCTTGAACCATTGACCTTGTGGTTCAAGCCGACTTTGCATTAACCCACAGTGCCACACCAGGACTCCAAACTTTGAGTAATGGATATCAGAGCCATGAACTCCTATAGTGGCAGCAACTACACTGAGAAGTAACCAAACTATTTCCAAAATAGATGGGATTTTGGAACCGTGAGAATAAATGAACCTGGATTTGAGGGAATTCTGTGGACCCATTGCCACCACCTGGCTCTTAGCTATAAGAAATGGGCAATGTAGAATTCTATTTCCCAAGAGTCATTTACCCCTATCGATTTGTGAACCCTTAAGAGCCCTTGTGTGGTGCTGTGGGTTAATGCACCAGACTGCAAAGCCATCTGAACTGCAAAGTTGGCAGTTCAAACTTACCATCTGCTCCTCGGAAACCCTATATAAGGTTGCTATGTGTCGGAACTGACGCTACGGCACTTAACAACAACAAGAAGATTCAGCTACCATCAAGTCAGTTTCAACTTATGCTGGCCCATGTATGTCAGAGTAGAACTGTGCTCCATAGCATTTCCAATGGCTGGGGGGTTTTTTGTGTTTTTTTTCCAGTAGATTGCCAGGACCTTCTTCTGAGGTACCTCTAGGTAGACTTGAACCTTCAACTTTTATATTAGTAGCCAAGTGTGCTACCATTTTCACCACCCAGGGACTCTGCAAACCTGCACCCAATTGTAAATGGACATCCCAGTCTCTGGTTGAGCATATTGGCCTGGTCAAAACCTGAAGACTCCATTGGTCTCACTCAAGGCAGTGAGGGGCAACCCCTCTTATCCAAATGGAATCTGGTTTCTAGACTGCCAACCTAACTTCCCAAATCCCCAAAACCTCCTCTAACACCTTTCCATGTATCCCTAGCTTGCTGGGTGATGTTTCACATGGGACACCTGGTTACTGTACATTTCTCACATTGGATTTGTGTTTAAAGTACTTTCAGAAGCCTACCAGGAGACCTTGGAGAGCTCAACTTTGCAATTAGTTCTATGCTTGTAGAATCTCCTTGGCCCTGTCCAGGGAGCCTGTCCTGTATGTATGTGGGATGTATAGATAGGCTGTGATGAATACAGGCCACCTAGTGGTACAAGGCTGATGGGAGAATAGGGCAAGCCTGGGCAGCCTTAGCCTAGGATGGTGGCTGAGGAGGCAGAGTACCGCATAATATACATCCAGAAATCTTGGGATCATTCTCTCTCTCTTTTACAATATAATGGCTTGCCAGATGTCTCTTGTTCTCGGTCAGTTTTTGGAATGAGAGTACCAGCCAAGCCACTTCTATATAGAATACTCAGCAAATCCCCACAATGGGACCACCCTCCCATAATGAGTAACATTGCACGTTACTTATTATGCCCTCATGCTCCCCTTCCACACACACCCACCCAAACACACACGTAAACCTACCCACCGAGTAGGACCACTCAGCTTGCTCCTGGAAACCTGTAGATCTTGGACAGGGGCTCACAGAGATGACTGGTCACAGGGACTGCATCCTCTGACAGCAGCTCCATAAAGAAATGGGTGTCTCCATTCCACTTCCACTGTGGAGATGTAGGGCCGCCTTGATTCCTGTCCTTTCAGGGTTCTTCCTTTGAGTTTGGGGGTTATGCCTTTTTTTTTTCTATCTCATTGAGTTATAATAATCATATTTGTTGTTGTTGTTAAGTGCCTTCAAGTCGGTTCCGACCCATAGCGACCCTGTACAGGGTTTCCGAGGGTGTAAATCCTTACGGGAGTAGAAAGCCTATAGTGAAGTGCATATAGCTAAATGAGTAGCGTGGAACATTTTTACCACGACCATTAGTGAGTTACAAAACTGCAATGAATTACATTCCCAGCTCTCCAGAATGTTCCCTCAGGTCCCGCCCGTGCCACCCCCCACCCCAGACAACCTGTATTCTTAACTGCTGTCCATGTAGATTTGTTTTTCCTGTCCTTGAACTTGAATGCATAAACATGTCTGGCATTATTCGCTCCCATCAGTACGATTGGAGCCCACAGCCAGTGACCACCTGACCTCTCCCTTTATTGCTGTGGGCTGGGTGGGTGCTTAGTAATCACCCTGACTACTGTGTGCCTCTCCTACAGGCTATATATAAAATGGTGTCCTCAGTGATGAAAATGCCCGAGGACGAGTCCACTCCAGAGAAACGGACAGACAAGATCTTCCGACAGATGGACACAAACAATGACGGTAAGCAGCAGACTGTGTGTGTGTGTGTGCACATGCACAGCCCTATGGGAAATCACGATGTATTTCAGACACTTCTCTCTCCTCTGCAGCATCTCATGCACCCCAGCCCACCCCGCCACTCTCCTGCCCAGCCTGACTTAGTTGTCCTGCAGAAGACCCAGGATTTGGAATCAGGGTAGTCTGGTCCTGAGTCCTCTAGGGCCCTGAGCCACAGTCTCCTCACTTATTAAATGGAGACAATGTGTTAGGATTGGAGGGAGGAAGGTGTGCTGACCTCCCTCTGGGCTCTGCTGGGCTGAGATCAGAGAGTCCAGGCAGTGAGGTCCTGGGAAGCTGGCTGTTCCTTATTTGTCTTCTGAGATGTAAGGCTCCCAGGTGACCCCAGGAGTCTAGGCAAGTGCTGTTAGGAGGTACATTTCTGCATCTGCCCACAGCAGCTTTGCCCATTGCCCCTGGGGCCATACTATAGCAGACTTGATGGGTCTTAGAAGGAGCTGAGCAGTAACAGTAACAGTGGGTAGCCCATCTCAGCTTCCTACTCTGCAGAGGTTCTGAGATTCTGTTAGGATGAAGCTGAGGATACAGTACTTCTTTCAGACTTTATCAAATGGAGTCGCAGAACAAGATCTGATTTGCTTTTAAACAATGAAGAAAAATAGCATTTAGAAAAGAAAAGAGTATACTCCCTGGGTTGTGATGAAGATTGAAAATCAGCTAATGATACATAGAAGTGCTTTGTAAACTCAAAAGGGCCCCACATAGGTGAGTTAAAAGACCAAGCCAGCAGGGAGACAAGGTTTTCCATATAAATACAGACAGAATAAAGCATTGTTGTTGTTAAGTACTGTTGAGTCAGTTCTGACCCATAGCGACCCTGTATAGTGTTTCTGAGGAGCAGCTGGTGAACTTGAACTGCCGAACTTGCAGTTCAAACGGCTTTGCAGCCTGGTGCATTAACCCACAGCACCACACCATAGCAGACAGCAATTCAACCATTTTCAAAACATATTCACACAAAAAACAAGGCCGTCTTGTACCTACCATTGCCTTTGGTGCTGGTGGTGCTCTGCCATTGAGTTGGTTCCAACTCACAGTGAACCTGTATAGGGTTTCTGAGGCTGTAAATCTTTACAAGAGCAGAAAGTCTCATCTTTCTCCCACAAAATTCATTCAAATCATGTTTCTAACCGCCAGTGTGGCAAGGCACAGACTTTGACAGACATGCACTGAGTCTTGGCTTTCACAAGCCTCAATTGACTCCTTTGTGAAATGGGGATTAGAAATCTAATCTCCTGTGGTTGTAAGGATTCATTGTAAAACTCTGAACAGAGCACTAGGTACTCAACAAATAGTGGCTCCTCTTTCTAAACTCACAGTGTCACAAGATCAGCTGCCCATCACCACACTCAGCCCCTTGACGTGATTCCCCAGCACACCCCAGCCCCATGCCGTTAGAGGGCCAGCTGAGCCGCATGCCCTGTGGCCTTCCTAACTTGTTTGTGAGCTTGGAGGGTACACTCCACTTGCTAATGTGCCCCCAGGGACAAAGCACTTCCTCCCGTGAGCCCAGATGTACTCTCAGTCCCGAGGGCTCCAGGAGGGAAATGAAGCCATCACATCAGAGAAGCTGGGGTTACAGCCAGGATGCCCACTAGGATGAATGGAGAGCATGATCCCTGAACCCTCCCAGATTGCCCAAACTTTGCCCCAGCAACCCTGGCCACCCCAGAAAAGCTGGGCTCTGCCCCAATCTCTCCATGGCAAGGTGCCATTTTAAAGCCACTGTCTCCTGTTTAACTTTCACTCAAGCAGCCCATCTGAATTGAATCCAGTCAAGGCTGACAGCCACCCCAGCACAGATCAGCCCCTGCCATGCCATCCTCAGGCCCCTCGTCTGTCCTGCTGTCTGTGAGGAATGGGCAGTGGGGCTGGTGCCTTCACAGCAATATCATCTCAGCAAGTCCTCAGGAGCTTTTCCTGGGCCAGCTCAAGGCCTCTCCTGTGGCTGCCCTGCACTCTAAGGCTAGGAGAACGTAGGGTGCAGGGAGTGAGGATGGGAGAGAGAGCTGGAACTGCCTGGTAAGATTTCTCCCTCTGACTTTTGGGCCCTTGAAAGCCCCAGACTTGCAACCAAGGAAACCTCCACACCCAGTCTGCTGCTGTGAGCAACCAGGGACTTGAGGTGTGGGGGTGTGGTTGGTAAGCCACCACCAGCCACATGAAGAGAGTAAGTGCCTTTGGAGAGCCTTGTGTGTCTGTCTGCAAAGGCACCATCTCCTCTGCTAAGGGAGTGGCCATCCGTTGCCATACACCCTCCCATTCCCAGGCCTCTCCCTGGCCTGGTCATTGTTAGTTTCCTGGAGGCATATACAGAGCGTATGGACCAGGGATGCTGGGGGCCTGAGAGGAGGAGGGTGGGCCCTGTCTGTATTCCTGGCTATTTCTCTGCAATGAACTTTATACCCAAACCCACTGCTATCCAGTCATCTCCAACTCATAGTGACTGTATGTGTTGTTGTTGTTGTTAAGTGCCATCAAGTTGGTTCTGACTCATAGCAACCCTGTATAGGATTCCCAAGGAGCAGCTGGCAGGTTTGACCCACCAACCTTGCGGTTAGTAGTCCAGTGCTGATCCTACAGCGCCACACCAAGTCTGTATGTTGTTGTTGTTGTTGTTAGGTGCCATCGAGTTAGCACCAACTCACAGCGACCCTATGCACAGCAGAACGAAACACTGCCCAATCCTGGGCCAACCTCACTACTGTTGCCATGCTTGAGTCCATCGATGCTGCCACTTGGCCAATCCATCTCATTGGGGGGTCTTCCTCTTTTTCTCTGACCCTCCACCTTACCAAACATGAAGCCTCTATAGTATTGGCTAATTTCCAAGTGTGTCCTCCATGCCAGGCACTGTGATGGACCCCACTCATGTGCATCTCCCCCAGGAGCCTTTTGAGGTAGGTATCCCCACTATCCCATTTTACAGACAAAGACACTGAGGCACAGAAAGGTGACTGGCTTCCCTATTAGCTTTATAACAGTCCTGTGAAGCACTTGTCACTATTCCATGTCAGAGCAGAAGGGCCTGAGACTCAATGGCCTTAGAAGACTCCCTAAGGCACAGTCTACTTCAAACCAAATCATTTGACCCCAGGCTTTCCCCACAAAGCAAATAGACTGCAGACTAGAAAGCTGACCGTCACCTTCCCTGAGCACATCATATTCCAATGGGAAGAGTTATAAAAGTGTGTCTTGGCTTTGTTGTTACTAAGTGCTGTCGAGTTGGTTTTGACTCATAGCGACCCTGTATAGGGTTTTTGAGGAGCAGCTGGTGAGTTTAAATCCCTGACCTTGAGGTTAGCAGTCCTGTGCTTACCCTACAGGGGAGTAACAAACAAATGCTCTGGTGACCACCATGTGACTCATTAAGAAATAATTGTGTGAGAGAAGAGCATATGGTCAGAAAAGCTAATCCCGTACCACAGCTCAACAGCCTCAGCAAAGGCCATCTCTTTGCTTGACAAGTCATATATTCCTATTATGTAAGAAGTGGAGTGATTTTCAAAGCCTTCAAATTACCCTCATCAGCCACATCATAACACCATACTGAGCACATTCTTTTAGTTGCCCAGTGTTTTTCAGTGAGCCATGGTGGTAAAAAAAACAAAGCACACACATTTTTCAGAAGTGCCCATGAAGTGAGTGGAGAGATGCTGACATAGTCCAGCTTCCAGGAGACTCAAAATTGAAAGGGAGAAAAAAAAAAGTGGGGGTGTGGAGGAGTATTCCTGACATGAAATTTGTTTACATCTTCCCAGGAACGTAAGAAGAGCAGTGTTGTTATTGTTAAGTGTTAAGTCAGGTCTGACTCACAGCGACCCTGTATAGGGTTTCCAAGGAGCAGCTGGTGGGTTTGAAACGCTGACTGTGCCATTCAAACCGACCTTGCAGTCCAGTGCATTAACTCTCAAGGCCACACCAGGACCCCAAGAAGAGCAGTGAGCACTGGCTAATTCTGACTTCTCCCGTCCTCTGTCCTTGCAGGCAAACTGTCCCTGGAAGAGTTTATTAAAGGTGCCAAGAGTGACCCTTCCATCGTCCGACTGTTACAGTGTGACCCCAGCAGTGCAAGCCAGTTCTAAGGAAACGGGTGTCTGGACAGTCACAGAGAAGCACACGGGCTTGTCTTGCCGTTTAAGCTTTGCTTGCAAAAGTGGATGTCTCCTCAATCATTCTTGCTCTTCCCGGCCCAGTGCCCCAGCGACACATCCCGGCTGGCTGCGCCTCCCTCCTCCACCCGACCAGTGAGACATTCCTCCAGTCCTGCCCCCTCTGGGCCTCTTCCTTTCCAGGGTGACTCACCGGCTGTGTTTACACGCAGGATTTCAAGTGTTCTCAGATCCTGGGGTAGCCTTCCTCCTGCAGGCAGCCCCAGTGCACAACACTGAAGATTCTAGGTAGGACTCTCTAAGACAGCGCCAAGGCCAGATGATTTATTTTGTAATCCCAGGTGACTCTGCTGGAGAGGGAGATGTAGGGACAGAAATGGAGTGAGAGTGGACAGATCGAGTCCTTCCCCCAAGCATGGCTCCACCACCGATCTTGTTTGTTTGTTTTCTCTGACCAAAACTGCTTGCATTTATATATACCGTGGTCTTCTTTCTTTTCATATATAAATTATATGTATGGTGAAATACAATGTACCGCGTCGGTCCCCTATTTAATGCCTCTGACTGCCTTCCTCGTGGCCTGCAACTCCTCCGAACCTGGCTGTCCTGTGGTATTTATGCACTGTCACATCACCCACTCCCGGAGGACATGCATGTGTGCCTAGCGCCCTCCAGACCCTGTCGTCCATGTAGTGAGTGCAGATGTGTGGTGAAGGTCTGTTCTCCCTGTTGATTGGTCTGGCATTTCCTGTATTCAAATGATCAAATAAACGGAATTATCTGGATCGTGTGTTTGCCTGTAAAAGTCCCCACTCTGGTGGGTGTAGCACTCAGTGATTATCCATCAGTGGTGGAGTCATTTGGCCGCAGCTGCTTTTTGCAAGCTCCATTCCCTCCCGTGTCCCTTTAGCCATGGCCTGCTCTTCCATATCTGCCTCACTCCAGGAAATATTCATGGAATTAAAGGTGACTGGTTTGGTGGGTATGTCTGTCACACTCTGCCTCCCTCCTTCCTTCCCTTTCTCTCTGAGATTTTTATCCACAAGCCTGCAGGGAGGCACCTGCCTTGAAGAAAAGCACATGGGGCAGCGGGAAGCAGCTTGGGCCTGGAGGGCTGACACTCCTGGTCTCTTACTCTGCCTTCCCTGTGGCAGTCAGAACACCTCCAACAGCAGCAGAAAACCCAGCTGACATGATAGGGATGTTTGTCTCGTGTGCGATGCGTTCTAGGCTTAGCTAAGCAGCAGCTTGGCAGGGTCATTGAGGGCCCAGGCTTCTTTCCACCATCCTTACTGCCCACCTCAAAGAGCCTGTTTTTGTTCTCAAACTGGTCGTCTCACAGCTGTCATTGTCCCAGGCAGCACAGCAAACACATGAACACTGATCAGCAGGACATGAAGCGCCATGTTCCTATTCCACCACTGAGAGAGAGGATTGCATGCCCAGAATCCTCCCCCACCCCCCAACCTCACATCCAAACTGCCCAATGCCCAAAACACCCAGACCAGTGCCTGAGCTAGGGGAGTTTAAGCCCATTAAGATGACTTCCCCCTCCCCCATCAAAGAACATGTTACTTAGAAGCAGGTTGCCTTCAAGGACAGAACCCGTTAGGAGACTAGAAGTCCAGATTCATGGCACTATGTGTGAGGTCGGCTCTGGGGGCTGGTCACTGTCTATTCCAGCCTCTGTGGCCCCGTGTCCCATGGCATCTTCATATGGCATCTATTCTTTTAATAGTTCATAAGTGATTAAGTTTACAGCAAACTCTATGTTGATATGACCTAATTAACGTAATAAAACCCTATTCCCAAATAGGATTGCATCCACAGATACAAAGGTCTGGATCCCAATGCATTTTGGGAGGGCATAATTCAGCCCATGCCAGAATTGAGGTTCTCTTCTCATCTGTCAGTTGGTCGTACTGTGGTGACTTGTGAGTTGCTGTGATTCTGGAAGCTATGCCACC